ATATGGAAACGCTTGGATACGCTAGGGAAACACGTAAAAATTTTCATAATACATTAATAATATTATATTTAAGGTCAAATAACCATAAATAATGTATAAATACATAGAAAATATATTTTAATAGTACTAGTGGGGACCCACGCGATGCATGCGATTTATTAAGAAAAACCTAAATAATAGAAAGGGTCATTTACTAAAATACCTCTTATAGTTTCATGGATTTACTAAAATGGGTGGAAGACGACCCGATTAGATCATCTTCTTCACCCGCATGCTCAAACGGGTCCTACGATGACCCACTTATTTTTTTTACCATTTATTCACTTTTTACAGTTTTTTTACATTTTAGTGAGTTGGTTTTGGACATTTACAATAGGAAATGATTGAACCAACTTGAAAGAATTTTAATTGTACCTGTTTATTGCGACTGTTTCTTTAAGCTTTCAAAGGCCAGAACCGACTTGAATGAAGTGTTTCTTGGTGGATTTACTTTTAATTGGCGAGAGCTGCATATTACGTGGATTTTTTTTAAAAAAAAAAGAAAATTCAAAAATTTGAGAAATTAGGAAAGGGGTGGGGGAGAAAGGAGAGACATGCTGACATGTCACGTTCAATTTTAATATATATATATATATATATATAGTTAATTACTGTGTTTTATTTATTTAACAATATTAATTACATTGTTTTAAAAAAATACTATATTTATTAACTAACAGTATTTTATTTTAATTACAGTATTATAATTATCTGATAATTATGTGTAATTCAATTATCTGATAATTATAATTATCTGATAAATACTATTAAAAATAATTGAATTACAGCTTAAAGATAAATACTGTGAATTATATTACTGTTAATTAATACAATCTTAAATTATTATGTTAATTAAAAACACTATTAATAGTATTAACAGTATTATAATACAGTAATAACTGTTAATACTATATTAATTACATTGTTTTTAAAAAATACTATATTTATTAATTAACAGTATTGTATTTTAATTACAGTATTTTATTAACAGTATTATAATTATCTGATAATTATGTGTAATTCAATTATCTGACAAATACTATTAAAAATAACTGAATTACAGCTTAAAGATAAATACTGTGAATTATATTACTGTTAATTAATACAATCTTAAATTATTATGTTAATTAAAAATACTATTAATAGCATTAACAGTATTATAATACAGTAATTAATATATTTTAAATAAATACAGTAATATAATACTGTTTATTTTTAAGCTGTAAATCAATTATTTGATAATTATGTGTAATTTTATGCTATTTATAGCTTAGATTATAATTACTGTTTAATACTGTGAATTATACTACTGTTAATTAATAATTAGTGTTAATTAATTAAATGTAATTTTCTGGTAATTACTGTTAATTATAATTTATAGCTTAACTTATAATTACTGTTAATTACAATTTATAGCTTAACTTATAATTACTGTTAATTACAATAATTAGTGAATTACTTTTAATTAAAAATATATTATTTTTTAAATAATAATGTATTTATTAATACTGTAATTATTAAAAATACTGTAATTATTTATGTGTAAATAAATGTAATTTTTTGAAAATAATTACTTTTTATTAGAATTACTGTTAATTATTAATTACCATATGTTGATTTTTGTTAATTATATAAATAATTATTGTTAATTATACAAAATAATTACGGTTAATTTTGTAATAATCACTGATTATTATAATTAAATAGTATATTCAATACTGTTAATTAATAGATACAGTATTTTTTAGAATAATGTTAATTATTAAAAATTATGAAAATACTGTTAAATATAAACAATAATTACTGTTAATTTTATTTTTTTTGAAAATACTGTTATTTAGTAAATACAGTACTGTTAACTGCAGTTTATTTTTGTTACTTTGTTTTTGGTTATTTTTTGAAAATACTGTTATTTAATAAATACATTTTTATTAAATTACTGTTAATTAGTAAATGCATTATTTATAAATACTGTATTTATTAAAATACTGTAATTATTTAAATGTCATTAAATGTAATTTTTAAAAATAACTACTTTTAATTAGAAATACTGTTAATTTTCTGATAATTACTGTTAATTACAGTTAATTTAATTAAATACTGTAATTAATACTGATGATTAATAAATACTGTATTTTTTTAAAATAATGTAATTTATTAAAAATTGTGAAAAATTACAGTTAAATTTAATTAAATACTGTTAATTAACAATAATCAATTATGTTGTATTAACAATAATTGATTCATTAAAAGTAATTAACAGTAATTAATCATTGTTAATGTTAATCAACATTAAATTTGTTGACGCTAATTATTGTTAATGTTAATCAACATTAATTATTGTAATTAACCGTGTAATGTATGGTTGGTGTGAACCGTCTGTAACACGGTTTGGGTTCAGACGTACCCGGTATTCTATAAAAAACGGATCATGAAAAACCCATTTTCGTTGTCTTCTTCGCCCGACCATTGAAATGGGTTCTGTGATGACCCAGTTATTTTTTTTTTCATTTTTTTGCTATTTTCTCTACTTTTTAATGAGTCGATTTTATTTTTAATACTCTGCATCAGAAAAACACTTAATAATGCACCCAATAATGCAAACAAAAATAATCACCTAATCAAATATGTTTTTCGCAAAAAAAAAAAAAAAAACACCTAATACCTGGTATGAGCAAGCAAATTGGAGAATGCAAAATAATGTTGAGATGCTTCTTCCAAGATAAATCACATCTGCTCGAGTGAATTCAAATTTGAGACTTGACTAAAGTCATACTGAAAAAAGAAAAGAGAAAACATGCTTGGGAGTCCAAGGATTTTTGTAGAAAAGCTTGGAAGTCCAAAGTTCCTAGGCTTCCTATAAGATATGATTTAATGGCAGACATGAGCGGGAGGGGCTTTGGAAGTCCAAACGTTCCTAGGCTTCCTATAAAATTGGTTGTGAGATAATTACGTGGATTAAAAAATAAAATAAAAAAATAAAAAAAAAATAAAAAAAATAGAATTGGGGATTTCCTACTAGGAGAGACATTCTCACAGCACGTCCAGTTTTAATATATATAGTTATGAAAAAATATATTACAATTAGTATAATAGGATGCATAGATATCATAAAATTTTATTGATAATGTACCAATCAAGAGTCTAAAATGCAAAGCATATTTTCCTATTATATTTTAATAACTATATCAATTGTTTTCAGTTTTACTGGTTTTACTATTTTACTTTAACAAAGAGGTCAACCGAATATTAAATTCTCTATGTAAATTAAAATATCAATTAGTATTTTATAAAATGTATAATTAATTTTCTAAAATAAAAAAAAAAAATTGGTATAATGTAGATTAGTAGATTTGATAGATTCAATTTAATACTATATTCTTGAATATTTTGTAAACATTTTTTTTTGTTTTTATAAATAATAAATACCTTGGTATTTAATGTAAAATAAAACATTAATTAATGATTTTAAAAATATATAAAAATTTTAAATGCATATCATGTGTAAATTTATAAATTTTAGTTACTAAAATAATTATTCTATTATTAATATTTTATTTGTATAACTTTCTTGAGACTCAAATAATATTTTGATATAAATTTGGATTCGATATATTATTTATTCCATTACTTTATAAAATACTAATTTTGAATATTATTTATATCAAATCTATTAAAATTTTTAAGATACATATCACATGCAAAGTCATAATTTTTAATTACTAAAATTACAATTCCAATATTAATATTTTTATTTCTATAAATTTTTAAAGTTAAAAATCTTTTTTATATGAATGTGAATTTGATATATTATTTATTCTATTATTTTATAAAATACTGATTTTTAATATTACTTTTTTTATTTTTTAGTTGAAATTAACTTTAATATATTACTTGAATTACATTTAAACAATAAATTAATAGAAGTTATTTTATTTTACTTATAAATACAAATAATGGATTAGCATAATGGCTTAGGGGAGTGAGCGTATCTTGTATATCGAACCGATATGTATAGGCCAATACAATGTGATACGGATTGCACGATCAGTATGATACATTTAGCAAATTCCGTGCCTAATAATAATGGGGTGTATCGTCCATCTCAATCCTTGATACAGGATATTGATCAATAGTTTTCCTTATTTTTATCCAAGTATTTGGCATCTATGCCATTACTTAAGAACTGTTTTCTCAAAAAACAGTGTTGTGTGTAAGGTTTAAAGCATTGTTTTCTCAGGTGCTTATTTTTTGCTTGGCATCGATGTTGCCACCTGGGTCTGATCCCGCTGTTCTTGCTGCTTCTTCTTCATCATTTTTCTTACATGTTCCTTCTCTTCTCCGTTATCACTACGTTTTCATATCAACAGAAGTGAAGAACCGAAGTTCGACACTGCACTAAATGAAGAAAAAGAGAGTTTCAGATCAGGACCTGATCTGACGCTGGTGTAAACAGGGAGTTTTTAGACCAGCTCTATGAGCCGCTTCTAGGATTCTTAAGGCTGCATTTTGAATCGGTGTAAATCAAGAATAGTGTAAAAGTTTATATCGGTTCGATTTTGTCCACGTTTGAAAGGAGAGTGTAATCATGATCAACGTAAAACTCCACTTCAGTTCAATTTTGCATATGTTTGGATGGAGTAGAGTTTTACATCAATAATCGATGTAAAATTTATTAAACGTTAAATTTTATACCAATTATCGATGTAAATACTAAATCGATTTTATCGATGCAAAACCTTACACTCTTCACCCATTGCGTTTTTCAAAAAGCAATGATCAATTTTACAGTTCAGTGTAAAATGTCATCAATGTAAAAGTACACAAATGATGTTTTACACTGATTCCAAACACAGCCTAAAGGAAAAGAGAAAAGCCGATATAACCAATTTTTTGGGGCAACGCATCAATGCCAAGCAAGCCCTGATCTCCTGTTTACAAGAACTCTGTCAATGTTTACCTACATAACATTGCAATTACACAAAAAACATCTCATCCTCCTACGTAATATTATGCAAAGACATGATTCGAAATCCCAATACATGTGAGTAGAGTTTTTTATGGGCAGGAGATTCCGAGTCATGCCAAACACCGCCTAAATGGTCTTCCGTCCCACATTACACATTAGAGCTCGAAAAGCTCATCAACTCGTAAAAAATTAGATATTTTTCGGTTTCTCTTCATTGGTTTCTACTGGAATTGAAAATCTGAACTCATTTGATCAAACCCTCTCCTTCGAATAGGAAGAAAGTTCGATCATTTACTCCAAAGACTCCCGAGAGAGAAATAGAATGGATTTCGAGTTAAGAGGCGCAAGAGAGAAGCTTGAGAGAGAACAGAAGGAGGGGAAAGAGAGGGCGAGGCTAAGACTCCAAAAAGAGAGGAAAGCCAAGCAAGAAGCCATTCGCCAACGAGAAGCCATCGAAGCCGCTCAAAGAATTCGTAGGCTTGATGCTGCAGAAGCACAACTCAAGGTAAGACCTCCCTCATTATTGCTTTTAGTTTGGTTTGATTGGTCGGTTTATGCGTGTTTACGATCTTTTGTTTATCTTCATCTATTGATTCCATCTATGGATGATATTCTTCCTCCCTCGCTGAGAGCATAGGTCGTGTTTTATTGTGAAATAGGTACATTTGGATTTATTTAGGGGAAACTCTGATTATGAACTCTATTGATAGTGGAATCGAATATAGTATCTACCAATATGATATTGGAATTTTAACTACAACCTTCCATTTTGCATCAACTAAGTGAAGATTACTTTTGGAGCTTGTTTGTCTCTACCTGAGTGGAATTGTTTTTGTTATCTAGTCAGCTGAGCTGTTACTGCAGGTTCCCAATTTAATCTGTGTAAACCATATATCATGTTCCATGCGTTTGAAATCAACTTAATTGATATTGTCGATTGTCGATGCCTCCTTGGGCAGATATTTTTTCCACTTGATTGATTTTAATTTCGAACTTGTACCAGAAATAATAGTTCTCCAACTTATTGGCTGGGTCCATAAAGAAAAATCAACGAACTGCATTGATTTTGTAAAGTTCTATAAAAATGCTGCTACCTGTTAAAAGAAAAGGAGAATAAATGGAAGCAAAGAAACAAATAAACCCATATATAACCTTTGTTCACTCAATTGGATGCAATCTATATTTGTTGGAAGCCCATAAATGATTCTCTAAGACTAGTTTGTTTATTGATGCTTTCTTTTAGGGGTATTCAGTCGCCATTTTTTTTTTTGAAACTGTAAGGTAAAGTATCTCATTATATGCCAAAAAAAGTTACAAGGATAACCCCTATACAATGAGATTCTGTACAAGGAAAAACCGAACTGACCCAATTACAATAAGCCCAATAACAACAAAAAATCTTACAGATTCCTTACAAAACGAAAATTCTGATAAAAAAAGAATTTGTGTGTCTATTCTTGAACAGAGAGTGATTTGCCAACCAAGAAAACACCATGCCCAAAACTTTTTTGAGAACCTCTTCTTTTGAACCCTGCCTCCCCTAAAAAATTCTGCTATTTCTTTCACAACACAGTGCCCAGAAGACTGCTGTAGGGATGATGCTCCAAGCTACTCTTTTAACCTTGCTTAACCCCCCTTAAGAACCAAGCACCTATGAAGTCACATCAGCTGGGAAGCACATCTCCACCCCAATCAAATCCAACATTCTTCCCCAAATCTAGTACACAAACTCACAATGCAAAAAAAAAAAGACTAGTGTGTTCCACACTCCTATTACACATGATACCAAAAATAGTGTATTCCACCCTCATTCACTCACCAAAAATAGAAGTTGTGTTCAGTGTCCTATTAAAATATATGGAGGAAAGAAAGGAAAACCAAAAGAAAAAGGAAAGCCAAAGCAAAGTAGTAAGGCAAATTTTATCTTTGACCTGTTTTGTTTTCTCTCCAAAAAGGAAAACAGTGGAGCATGAGAGGGAGCAAATCTGGCTTGGCTCTCCTAAGAAAATCTTTGTTTCTTTTCCTTTCTCTTTTATTTTATTATTTTTTGCTTGTTAAGTTGACGATACACATTAGAATTAAGTACAAGCTTTCTGCTTAGTGATTTAAAAACTGATTTTCTTTTAGAACCAAAGCCCCTATGAAGTATTGTACTATAAATTTCGAAGGATGCCTCATCTTTTCATTCACCAGTGCCAAATGGCAATATGGCAGGAAAACTCCACATCTTACATAAGATTATCCGAAATATCCATCAACTAGGAAGGTGAATGAAAATCTCCCCTTCTAGGTTTTCATCGAATCCTGAAGAAACTCTGCTGGATGGTAGAAAGAGGGCAAAGGCCTTTTTGCTTAGGCTTTATATGGTTAATAAAAGAACATTATGATAAGAGTGAAAAACCACTTGCTCATGGTTGAAACCTTGAAAATCCTTAAGAAATAAAACCTAAAACACCTACTATCTTTCCTATGAATGTGGACTCTGCACAGGATTTCCCGTCAAAGAATTTATGATTCCACTCTTCCTTGAAGCTCCAAAGAATGGAGTGAACTTCTACAATATTCAGGAAACAAAAGTGTCTTTTCAAGATCCATGGCTTGTATTGGTCTTGTTTATTTTGTTTCCAGGTTGCTATCCTTATTTATACATTCAACCTCTGAATGTATTTAAAATGTTCTTGTTGATAAATTTCACCACCATTTATAAATGATTTAGGCTGCATTTTGCATTGGCTATTGCATATCCAGTATCCACAACACATCTCTCCTTATGGATAAGGAGGCTTTGTGCCTTGTGGATAAAGATGGATATGATGGGTAATAAATTTTGAGTAGAATCAGGTTCTTAAAAGTTCTACCTAATCATTTTAAAATTGGAAAGGGTAGTCTAGTTTAATGAGCTGATACTTGTTTTAAACCATGGTCTGGAAGGTATAATGGGTACTACTGAATTTCATTAATGCTTTTAATTGAACATGTATGCTTGTAAAACTCTTCAAAACTCATGGTCTGAAGAAGATATAGAGCAATAAGTAAAAGAAGCTTCTTTCATTCTTATCTCTTACCCGACAAAATAGTTTTTTCTCTGTCTATAAGGATAAGAGCTTTTATTTTATTAAATGCTCCAAAATCAGTCGTTTCTCCTTATGCCAAATACAGTCTTAATCCTCCAATACAAAAGTTCCATCCTGTATACCTGTCATTAATCATGTAATTTTTAATGGGTCAAATTGTTATTAAATAGTATATGGTAATGCCCATTATCACTACAAAAATAAATAATTAAAGAAATAGCAAATAAGAAGAAAACAAGGCAACCGTTTAAAATAGAAATTTCAATCTCTAAATGGTAGGATGCTGCAATGCAATGCAGCCATTAATCTTTTGTGGTAGCATAAGGACCTCAATATTTGTCATTGGCTTCAACAAGAAACATGATGTATTAAGAATATTAGGGTTAATTTGTATTAAGGACCTCAATAATCAGTCACAATTGAACTGCAAAGATCCTCTCTTGGGCTAGTACTTCCGACATAACAGCTGAATCATTATTTTGTAACTAGCATACTTTCAAAATTATGTGAAATCATATATGATGTACCAGTATATGTTGCCTTCCCCCCTCCCCCAAAAAAAACAGAATATTTGAGGAAACAGAACCTAGAACAAGAGAAATCCAATTATCACACTGGAAATTAACTGAGGCACTTATTCGGGTGTTTTGAAATTGAAGAACTGTTGAACCTTGAACAATCACCTATAATATCCAAACTGCTGTTTGTTAAAGGACATTCTTTGAAACATAATATAATAGGCCAAGAGACTCCATTTTGAAAAATTGTTGTCATTCCCTAAGATCCCCTATATATGATGGTTATTAAATTGCAAACATGTTTAGATACATATACAAACTAATTTTATCACCAATAATTGTTGATTGACCAATAAGCATATCATGCCTTGTGACATTGAATGCTTGAGAATAAATTTAAATAGTTCATAATTGAACTCCCCCCCCCCAGCACGCGCATGCACGTAAAAAAGGAAAATAGCACATATTGCATAAATTTGTATGGTTAGAAGGAAGGTAGATGGAAATTACCATCATAATTTACACGGACTTTTTTTTATATTTCCCCTCCAATCCGTAGTATTTTTATGGATAATTTCATGAATACAAGTAATTAAAAATTTTTTCATTTTTACCTCAGGCTAATCAACAAATGGAAGAAAGTATGCTTGCTGGAAAAGGAGTCATACTTTTTCGTATTTTAGAAGCTGTGCCTTATCAGGGTTATGGAGATAAAATTAAATTGCCACCTTCCTGCTTCACTGAATTGTCTGATCAAGGCGCCCTTGATAAAGGACCCATGTACTTTCAACTTTCAAAAGTTCAACAAGATGGTTCTCCAACTACAGAATCCACTGAACAGCAAAATCATGGTACTACCCACTCAGGTGTTCTGGAATTCACTACAAATGAAGGATTTGTTGAACTTCCTCCTCATGTATGGAACAATTTATTTTCCTCTGAGCCTCCAAGCACTCCCTTGATTGAGGTTCGTTATGTTAGGCTACCAAAAGGAACCTATGCCAAACTACAACCAGATGGCATGGGATTCTTGGACATGCCTAACCACAAGGCAGTCCTTGAAACAAGCCTTCGGCAGCATGCTACTCTCTCGCAAGGTGATGTGGTCACAGTCAACCATGGTGAGCTAAGCTATAAATTGCGAGTTCTAGAGCTAAAACCATCTTCTAGTGTATCTGTACTTGAAACAGATATTGAGGTTGACATAGTGGGACCTGATTTGGCTTCAGGGAGGGCAGATCAGCATGTCTTGGTCCCACTCACACTAGGAAAGGCTGAATCTGGAATTGTCAAGGAAGGGAAATATAACTATTACAAGTTCACGGTAGATACTGACGTTAGTGAAAAAATAGCCTCTGGCTTTGCCAATATTGAGGTTAGGATAGAAGCAGAAACAAGTAGTGGGGACACTGATCTCTATGTCTCTAAGCATCCTGTCATATTCCCAAACCAACACCAGCATGAATGGTCTTCCCATGATGTGGGTTCAAAGGTTTTGTTCCTTGGTTCCAAGGATGAGAACCTTGGTGCAGGTACCTATAGTATTGGTGTCTTTGGCTTCAAGGGAACAACAAAATATCAAATTGTTGTAGGTATTGAAGATAATAATAGTCTTAAGGTAGGCGAACAGGCTGCAGCTTCCTCGTCAAAACTGGATTCAGACTCCTTGGCATGTCGGAATTGTAAACATTACATCCCTAGTAGGAGCATTGCACTGCATGAAGCATATTGCTTTAGGCACAATGTCATCTGTCAGCATGCTGGATGTGGGATTGTACTCAGAAAGGAGGAAGCTGAAAACCATATGCATTGTGAGAGATGTGGGCGAACCTTCCAGAAAGCAGAGATGGAGAAGCACATGAAAGTGTTCCATGAGCCACTTCATTGCCCTTGCGGGGTAATCCTTGAGAAGGAAGAAATGGTAAGCATATCAATTCCACCACGAAATACATATTCAGTGGCAGCATCTAAGAGCATGAAACATGGTTGCCTCCTTGTTTTTTTCTTTTTTCTTTTTTATTTTTGAAGGCAAAGGCAAGTATATTTCATTCGATCCAGAAACTTGAATACAAAGAATTGGTAATAGTACCAAGCAAGAAAACCCAAGACAAATTCTTAGAAAGAACAAAATATACATGAATAGTGGATAAAGGAGAAGAAATTAACTTCTGCAAAAGACAAAAGGTGAGTAAAATCACCAACAGAAGAAACAGCAATCCATCCAAAGTGAGAGAAAGAAACAGGAGGGACGCTCAAGAAAATGGCGAGGAGGCAGTAATAGTGCAACCAGGAAAGCCGCAAAAGGCGGTAGAGTCCCAAAAACTTGAACCATTTCCAATAATGCAACTGCCACCAAAAAAGCCACCAAGAAATTGCAACTGCAACTGCCACCTAGAGACTGCAACCGCCACCAAAAAACTGCAACCGGTGGCGAAAACGACCTTCGTACCAAATCGACAAAGGATTTGGGCTTTAAGAAACAGCCAAGGATGGCAACCAAAGAAGCAAATGTGGCCAACGCCCGACAAGAAAAGATTGAATAGTGCATCCCCTTCCCTGCGCAACAACAGCAAAGAAAAAACAAAAAATAACAAAGGAACAAAAAAGAAAAACAAGTAAAGGGAAAAAATAACAGAGGATGGAAGAAGGGAAGAAAAACGACAGATGATGAAAGGAGGAAGAAGAACGACAGAGGATGAAAAAAAAGAAAAAAACAGAGGATGGAAAACAAACACACAGAGGAGTGAGAAAAAGAGGGAAAACTAAGACTAGAGAAAGGGAAGAAGAGAATAAGAGAACCCAGTGAGAAAAGGGAGATGGGGGGCTCCCTTGGGGAGCCACCCCAGAGGATCGAAGGCGGAAGAGGAGACGAAGCAAGGCTGAGAAAGTAAAACCTCGAGGAAGTCTCGAGAGGGAGGCTCTCTCTACAGAGAGAGAAACGAAGCCTCTGGAAATTGGAGGCAGTCAGTTACTTGGTAGATTGAATATGTATTTTCAATTAATCTAAATCTGTTTCATGTTTTTGACCAGGTTCATCACCAGTCCACTGTCTGTCCTCTACGCTTAATTACATGCCAGTTCTGCGGGGACATGGTTCAAGCCGGGACCTCTGCAACAGATATCCGAGATAGATTGAGAGGACTTTCCGAGCATGAGAGTGTCTGTGGATCTAGAACAGCACTATGTGACTCATGTGGGCGCTCTGTCATGTTGAAGGAGATGGATATCCATAGAATCGCTGTGCATCAAAAGAACTGATAGTGAATTCTTGGTTTCCACTTTCAACTTTATTTGTCACTGATTGAAAAGGCCGATTGTTATCATACAATCCATGTTCTCACTGGACATCTATATTTATTCAACTTTGTCGTCAGTTGTAATAGTAATGCAAGTGCTGGTTACTATTGTATTTGAAAGGTGAATCGATTCACCAGATCTGGTCGTTTCTGGACATGTACACGTCCATACTGCATATATGCTCATGGATCCGTAACAGGATTGTTTCTGTTCCGCGTACATGTCAAAAGGAAACGGCCTCAAAATTTGGCTGAAGTTGCTTTTGCAGCAATTTATGGCTGTTTAATGATCATCCGAAGAAAAATTTGATCAGGGCCTACAGAAGAATCACCCATTATCAGCCCATGATGACCATAGGTTGACACTTTAACCAGTTGACGATTCTCTACTGCCACACACCTTGATATGTACCACAAATTGGAAGCGGATAACTCAGGCGCAACAGCAATCATACAGGGTCAGTTGAGTGGGCGAGGACTTTGGGTCCGTTTGGTTTGCTGGAATAGGGGTCTGGAATCGAATGGGCTATTTCGATTCCAACTGCTTGGTTGGGCGGAACCGGAATCCCATTCTCATTCCTGCTGGAATGACATTCCTCCATTGCCCCTCCTTTGGGAATGAAATCTCATTCTTGTTGATTTTAATTCTCATTTTTGTTTGAACCAAACAGACTATGGGAATGGACCATTCCAATTCCTATTCCGACTATGAACCAAACGGATCCTTTGTTCTTGATCTGTCAAATCTTAGGGCCCCATTTGATTTGCATGAATAGAGGTCTGGAATCGGAATCGGAATGGGCTATTCCGACTCTAACTGTTTGGTTGGGCGGAATCGAAATGAATGGGATTTCATTCCCCCATTTGAGGTAATGACCATTCTCTACCCCTCCTTTGGGAATGAAATCCCATTCATGTTGATTTCAATTTTCATTACCATTCCAGCTCCAAACCAAACGGACCCTTTAGACCAAATTTTGATGAATCTCCCACCCCCACCACCACCATAAGAGCAGCGAGCAGCAGCAATTTATGGGGGCCCACGACCCATCTACACGTCTTGTTTCCCCAAAGGCCCAAACCCAAGAATACAGGATACGTTCGTGGTAGAAAGCGAGTCATCTTGCAATTTAGATGTATTTTACAGGTTTACACGACCCATCTCTCACCGCTCGATGTGTGGTGAAAATGATGGGCTCTCCCTTAACTAATTTTGGATTAATTGGTAAAGATCATGATGAGAAGTGTGTTGCTCTTCTTTTTAGCTCAAACAATGCAGTCTCTAAAATGCAAGTAGAAGCAATGGCTATAGGGATGGCAATGGGACAGGTTCCGTGAGGGTTTTGTAAATTCTAAACTATACCTGTCCTAAAACCCGTAGTGGGTTGGATTTTGAGAATCCAAATCCTCCCCGCACATGAAACTGCAAAACCCTCCCCAATCCTACTCTTCTCACATTTAATGATAGGGCCGTAGGGGCGGGTTTGGTTTAAAACCCGCATCTAGTTTTTTATTATTTCTTATAATATATAACCAATAAATAAGTAAAATAACACAAATAAACATCAAGATTTCTAATTATTTGATTAAGAAATATAAAAAATATGTAGATTATCAATTATCTTTCACATAAAATTTAAAATATTATTAAATTCAACACATAGTACATAAAGTTTATATACTTTCCAACAATATGTGGATCAAGGAGGGTCAGGCTTAGCATAATACTGTATCCTACCCATATCCATATGGGTTGTAAAATTCCAAAACCTGTACCCACCCTAAAACCCATAATTTAAGCAAAAAAAAAAAACCACCCCATCAGTGAGGGTAAGGGCAAATACCCACCAGGTAGGCTAGAAATTGCCATCCCTAAATGGCTACCAAAGAATGCTTATAAAGTCAAAGTGGTCTAGGATAATTCTGGATCCAGATTGCCTTCGTTTAAGTTATGTTTGGTTTGAACTTTCTAACCAAACGCAGCGTTAATTCAGGCTGTGTCGAGCCCGAATACAGTTGGTGCTGCTAATGTTACGTTTCTGTTAAAAGATATTGACTATTGTTGAACTCTCTTCTGGACTTTTTGTTACGTTTAGGTTTGTTTGCTGTGATAAGAAATTAAGAACACTGTTGTGCATTCAGTTACCCAAAGAGGTCTTTGGGACAAGGGAGAGTTTATTTTCTTTTTTTTTTTTTTGACTGAATAGCTGAGATGGTCACTGAGCATTCCTCCAAATATGGAGGTGGAAAAGACTTAAAGGCTGAGTTTGAAAGGAATAGAAATGTAAATATGTAGAGTGCAAAATCTTATATTTTGTATTATTTTGTATGTATTTATGTTGTCTATATTTGTATTTGTACTCTTTCCAAAATGAGCATAAATACATACAAAATATAAGGTTTTGCTCTTTACATATTTGCGTTTGTATTTCTTCCAAACTCAGCGTAAAGGGTCCATTTGCTTTGCAGTCAGAATCAGAATCCTATAATTTGTTTGGTTCGGGCAGGGATGGGAATGGAAATTATAATAAACAAGAATGAAATTTCATTCCTAAGTGAGAGGCAGAGAATGACCATTCTCTCAAATGGGAGAATGTCATTCCAGCAGGAATGGAAATGGGATTCCAATTTTTCTTAATCAACCAGTTGGAATTGGAATACCATTTTGATTCTGATTTCAGACCCCTATTCCCCCAAACCAAATGGAGCCTAAATCTGTGTAACTGCATGTTCCTTATGGTAAGATTGGTAGGTCGGTAGACCTCACGTGCACACCACTTTGTCCCTACCCTTTAATCTAGAGTTTGGATATCTTCTTCACACTAGGGGTGTCCATGAAAAACCGAAAAGCCAAACCAAACCGAGAAAACCAAACTGAAAAATGCGGTTAATCGAACCAATTGGTTCGATTTTGGTTTGGTATTTTTGAAAAATGAAGGATCGGTTCAGTTTTCGGTTAACCTACAAAAAACCGATAGTTAACTGAACCGATCGGTATATATATTTATATGTATATTTTATATATATTTTTAATATATGTCACATATTTTCTATATATTATATATAAATATATTCATTATATATAAATATATACATATAAATCTCTTAAACTACTACTGTTCATGAAATTGACAAAATGTATCCTTATTGTTTATATATTGTTTTAAAGTATCTTTAAATTTTCTAATAATTGTCTAAAATCTTCGTTGTCATTAATTTTCCATCACACTCATGTATCATCACATGAATGGTAATTGTTTTAAAATTCCTAAAATACCCTTATTATTCACCGCCGCTATTGGAACCAGCACTGGCCCCCGACACTCAGCTTCAACCCGGCCAGCTCTACTTCGTATAACCTTTCTCCGTGTTTCAGTCCGATGCCTCTCCCGTCGACCTCGTCTCTCTAGCCACAAGGCTCACAGCGATCGCCAAACGCGGCGTCTCCGCATCCGACGCTAGACACGCAGAAAGCGGTCCTATATCGAGGCTTAATAGCTCCGACCGAGTCACAAGCAGTGTGACACAAGAGGCAGAGCTAGTGGCTTATCGGTGTCAAACGTCAACTACGGCTCGGTCGTGGAAACCCATCCTTGAGACCATTTTATGTGAGCCTTTTTCCTTCTCCAGTCTCGATCGGAGCTGTCTCCACTTCTATTCTTATCCTCTCCACCTGCTTAGCCTCTGTGCTCCGTTTTATGCTTCACCACTTCTTTTGGACCAATTAGCTTATCCTTTATTGCTCTTGCTACATTTCCAATGGGGCTGAAAATGTTGCCCCTCCCTGCTGAACCAGTACCCTTGTTTTTGTTTTCAGAATGAGAAGATTATCCTTTTATCGCTCCTAATACATTTCCGATGGGGCTGAAAATGTTGCCTCTCCTTGCTGAACCCGTTCCCCTGTTTTCTAAATAAGAAGCTTTATCGCTCCTGCTACATTTCTTATGGGGCTGAAAATGTTGCCCTCTCTACTGAATCCGTCCCCTTATTTTCAGAACAAGAAGAAAAGAAGCAGAACCCATCAACATCTCTACATGGTTGATTAACAGCTTCCTTCACCCATCATCATCTCCACATGGTTGATTAGAAATTCCTTCCAAGCAATTAACTGTTAATGAAGCGAACAAATGAAAGCAACTTGTTGGGAGTTACAGTTGCAAAGAATCCATGAAAGACAAGCAAGTAACACATGTCAAGAGGAATCTGTTGTAAAGTGATGAATCAGAGATGAAAGCGAGAGGTGTGTTTCTGAAGTTTATATTATGTATTGTCTGTTGTTCGATTCGAGTGTTATCATCTTCTATAACGTACGTCACTAGGTTCTGCTTCTTTTCTTGTTCTGAAAATGAGGGAGATGTCTTAAATACCGTTTTGGGTTTTGGAGGTTCATTTGGAAAAAATTGAAAATCAGGGGATTTTTATCAATTGGGTTTTATTTTTGAAAATTTGATATAGTGAAGGGCAAATTTTATAATAATCTATTTATAAATATATTATATATTTTTATAATATATTATATAACATTTATTATTTATAATATAATATTATACATATATTTATATAATATATATTATAAATATAAAAAACCAAAAAATCAAAGAACCGAACAAGTCAAAAACCTAAACTGACGAACCAATTAATTGGTGGTACTGGTTCAGTTTTGGTTTGGGGAAATGGAAAAACCGGTGGTACCGGTTTGGTTAACCAAACCGTGGAAACCCCTACTTCACACCCACTTCACAGCATGTTAATGCTGCACATCAGGTTTAGTTTGGAAAGAGTATAAATACAAATATGCAAGGTTCAAAGTATCGTAAACGCAAGATGTATCGGAAAGACAATTTGAAGAGATGTATCGGGATACACTTTGGATAATATGGATGTGGACGAAAAATCAAGATACAAATAAATATAGTAGAAAATTCAAATAAATCCTAAAAATACATTATTAACAATATTTACAAATTTTATATGATTGTAAATAAGTCATTTAAATGTAAAAAAAGCAATAATTTAATGGTTTATATAAAGTGTGACATATCAGGACACAATTAACAACTCTTGAAAAATGATGGAATAACTAAAATATAAAAAACAAAAAAAAACTGAAATG